GTGTGTGTGTGTGTGTGTGTGTGTGTGTGTAAAAAACAACCCTGTGAGTAGGTTGGATTGAGAAAGGGTGCTTGGCCCAAAATCATAAGTGAAACGTAGCCTGCAAGGAAAGTTATCCAAATAAAGTGAATTTGAATGGCAGCCTGGGAGCATGAAGAAGGGCTCCCAGCAAACATATGAATTATTGGAAAAGCTCTCAAGAAATGCCCCCCCCCTCACTGATTTAGCTGATTTCAGACCCTGGAATTCTGCAGTCTGAAGCAGCTCGTAAGTCAGTTGCAAATGTGCAGAAGAATTTACTTTCCTTATTCCTTTAAAGAAATTAAGAACAGATTTGGTGAGAAAGGCAAAACAGTTGAAAAGGCAAGTTAATCAGACCTGGAGTTGGCCAACAGTATCATCTGCTTTCTCAAGAGAAGCCAGTAGGTCTTCCTTCTGAATCATCATCTGCTGGACCGTGGCTCTTTTCTTCGTGAGCTCCACTATGAATGGCAATGTGGTTTCTGCTTCCTCAAATCGGTTTCGGTGAGCAGCCATTTTCTCATAGTAAGCACGGTTTCTTAAGACCATCATTTTAAATTCTTCTTGTAGAGCTTCATTGTCATGGGTCAGCTTTACGTTCTCAGCATGCAAGGCTGCAATTTGAGCCTCCAGATCTTCATAGTGAGATTTGCTTGTTGCTATGTCTTTCTCCCAGAAATATATTTGTCTTTCAATTTCCTTTCTATTCGATAGAACAGAGTTCCTCTGTATCTCAAGTTCCTGAAGCTGAGCCTACAGAAAAATATCACAGGGTAAACCAATTCATACACAAAACAGTAAAACATTTTAAGTTACTCACAAAAACTATACATGACATGGATGGATGATGTTTACTCTAGCAAGCATTGTATTTATCTGAAACAGATCAAAACTATGAAATCATCAGTATTATCAGACAGAAGAATCAAGGCACCATCTAACCTACAATGGCTGTGTTTACACAAAATGCTTAATTGTGTTAGGTATAAAGATGTAGCTTTGCACAAGCTTGTTCTGTGGTTCACCATGTTGCCCAAACCCAGTCTGCTGGGTCAGTTTATGGTTTAATATATTGTATGAACCCAGAAAGTTAACACTGAAAATGACTTCAGTGACTCAGTTACTTAAAGTGCAGAGATATTACACTGGCACACTGGTTTTCTCCATTTCATCAGTTTATACGGCTATAGAATCTGGACCAGCAGGAAGGTGGACTGACTTTGAATTGTGGTGCTGGAGAACATTGTTGAGAATACTTTGGATTGCCAGAAAATAACAAATTATTCAGTATTTGATCAAGTAAAACCACACTGCTCACTAGAAGGACTAACAATGAAGCTAAGGCTTCGGTATTAGATATTTTGGACACACCGTGCAAAGAGAAGATACTTTGGAGAAGACCTGATGCTCGTAAAAATGAAAGGCAATCAGAAAAGAAAAATAGGTGGCTAGATATTGCCATTGATGTCACAAACAGGTACTAACAAGAACTCCGAGACACGGTTCCTGGCAGACAGTCTTGACAAAATGATGTCCATAGGGTCACAAAGAGTCAGAAGTGGCTGAACAACAACCAGGTTGAGGATATGGTGAGAATGCAAACCTATTGGACCATTACAAGGAAGGGTAAATGCTCACCAGATATCATAGCAATCACATCTGGGCTCAACTCTCACTCCAAAAACCATCTCTCTCTGAGGGATTTTCTAACAAACACTAGGTATCCACCACTAGTGGAGGTAGCGGAAGAGCCTTCCAAAATCTGGAAAAGGAGCATGATCTCCTTGGGGAGAGCCATTATACACTGCACAGTGCTTACTAAGACAATAAATCAAAGAGGGAGAAATAGAATGAAATGCACATGCCACACTCACTCACTAAATTGGGGTAAATCTAGCAGGTTTAGCTCAGATCTTACACACTGTTCATTTTTCTAAGGTCTAAGCAAGGAAGACAATGGTCTGGCATCTTTAATGGCCCACAAGTGGGAACTCGGGGACCCCTCTCTGCTTGACCTTCAGAGAGGAGCATGCATGGAGGGCAAAGGGGAAGCAGGGCAATGCCACCAGATGTGCTGGAGACTAAGACCACTCAAGGTCAGCACTCCCAAGGCTTGGGGAGCTGGAAGGGAGGAATCTACCCCCTGGCATTGCCCTAGGCCCCTAGCCCAAAGAGGCAGCCCCCCTCTAGGAAGTGCTTAATGCTGAGGTTGTGTCTTCCAAGATTCTCCTGCTTCTTCTTCTGCTGGAGTCCAAGAAGAGGCTCCCTCTGAAGCCAGAAGTTCTTTTGTTCCTGACGTTGCCATTGAAGGCACTTAATGAGACTTGTCCTCTTGACTAGAAGACCCTCTCAAAGCCAGACTAGAATCAGTCGGTCAGACCGGTACTTTCTCTACCAGACTGTAAAGTCTTTTTAAAATATTACCTGCAGTTGCCTGAGAACTTTGTTGCTCTTTTCTATCGCAGAAGCCCGAATATTTTGTTGCTCGGCTATTTGCTTCACCATGTCAGTGATTCCTGATGAATCAGAGTCTGCCATGACTGGAAAAGAGCATAGCGTTGAGGAAAAAGAAAAGTTAGGAAGTAATTTTATGGGACGTCCACACAGCCATCCGTTCTACCCCCCAGTTCTCAGAAGCAATTTGAAGACGTCCTGTGGTCATCTTCAATGCAACTGGTCCTTAGAATGCTAAGACTGCTGCAAATGAGCCAGTCAGCATTCACTCTAAACAGAGAATGAAGGAAAATAGCATTTAAGCAGCTGGAGGGTATAGAGGAATGTGGAAATAACCTCAAAGAAGTTTATTTATATATGTAGCAGTGTTTCTCAACCTTGGCAACTTTAAGTTGTCTGGACTTCAACTCCCAGAATTCCCCAACCAACATGGCTGGCTGGGGAATTCTGGGAGTTGAAGTC